GACCACCTTAAAATTACTGTAAAAATTCAAATGCTCCCAATATTCAAGATATGCTCTGAGTGAAAATTCTGTATCTTGGCAACCAGGAACGGACAATTATTCTTTGGAAAAAGTCATCCTATCTGCCAAGATGAATTTATTATCATAATTGTTGCAAGGATATGTGAGTTTATTCTGTATCTCTTCCTTGACACTCTTTACTGTAGGAGATATCCCAATTCATTGATATTGAAATTGGTGAAGTGGGTTTAATTCAATTCAAAGAAATTCATGTCTGGTGGTATAGAACAGCTCTTTATGCCATTTAAGATTTCTCATGCTTAGAGAAAAACAATGATGAATTTAAGCAATCTCGACTCACGATTGTTCTCTATCAAATACGAGCAGCTTGGCATTTGTAATTTTTTTTTAATGTTGCAGACATGCAGCTACCCCCAGTAAAAAGGCAAGAGATTTAATGCAAAGAGCCTTTTACTTACAATGGAGAGCTGCTATTGCCTAAGAAAACAGTTAAATAGCAGTGTCTTTCCTTTTTCTTTTCTAAGTCTTCAGTCTTAAAATTTAAATTATACAAGGAAATATTAGTTCTTTGTATCATTGTTCATTTAAATGCAGGACATGAACTTGAAGCAGAAAAGATATGGGGATATGTGAAAGTGAATCTGAACTTCTGAATTACATTAGAGAGGTTTAAATTCTTCTTTGAAGGATGAAGATAGAAGCAGATTTAGGTCTGCAAGATTAGCCACAGAAAATCGTCAACTAAATTAATAAGTAATTTGAGAATGAATGAATGGAATAGTAGAATTTTAAGAGGCATTTGCTGGTTAGCTTAGGTTTACACTGGAAATAAAAACTCCTTTTCAGGTCACGCCATAATGTGACCTTTTCATGGTGCTGATGTAAATCCAAGATTAATGCAGGGGGAACATGGCCCAGAACAAAAGCACAGACTGAATGCACCTGGCTCTGGGCCCTCCCACACCGAGCTCTGCCTGTTCCTCTGCTGCTTTGGGTTGGGATATCACTCACCATGGAGCAATGGTTAGGAATCACTTACCATTGCTTCTCTTCCCAGCAATTCTGGGAAGAGAAGCAGGACAGACAAACTCAATTGTTGTGTTTGGTTGTTCCTACCCTTTTAGGGTATTTTTTTTTACTTGGTTTAAGCTATCAAAGATCTGATGAATACAGGAGAGTTTTGTCTGACAGAAAATCTTCTGGGTTTTCTCAGCGGAGCATTTCTCAGCTTTGAGACCATTTCAACCATTACAAGAGCTGGAGGAGCAGCTCCCTGGGAGAGCAGGAGCCTCCAGGGGAGGATGGGAGCTCTGGAATGAAGTGTCACAGTGGGTCCCAGGCCAGGTGGTACCTCCTGGCAGGGCCCCTGCCCAGCTCTGCCCCGAAGGTAACCCCCAGCCTCAGCTGTGCAGGATGGAAGCAGCTCCGCAAACAATCTCAGCTAAATAAATTGCAAAACATATTTCGTATGCAAATGAATTTCAATCAATTTCCAAATTGAATTCAATCAAATTACTTCTTTCAGTATTCCATACCTGTCACTTGCCATCTCCCTATGTCTCCTACATTTTGTGCTCTGAGCGGGTGACTGTAAACAGGAACTGGATTTAAATACATCAGCGAGGCTGGCAGGCGGTGTCAAGATGGCTCCTTACCAATTCCTACCCAAACCTTCAAATTAAAACATATTTTTGGTGATTTTCATTAGTGGTTTGAGTTTTAAAAAATACCAAATGTAATTGGGAGTTTTCATTTGAGTAAATATTTCCTGGTACTCGTTTAGACTATTTTACCGAGTTTTAGTGTTACTGGGTATTCAATTTTAAAAACCCAAACACACAAAAAGAACATTTAAATTTCTGGATTTTTTACTTCATTCTTTAAATATACATTCAGATTGAACCAGAAACTAAATAGCAACATATGCAATTGTTTAATTCACATAATAGAAAAAAAGTTAAATTTATAAGAGCTTTCTCTCAAAGTATGATGACTATCATAAATTGAAAACAGTGGTTAATTTATTTGTTTTAGCCTTAATAGTGAATCCAGGTATGAGATTTTATACTCCTTTTGTAATGAAAACTCCTTGTAAATATGAAAATTATGCCCAGTGTGTGGTGTTCAGGTCCTCAAAATCAGACACACAAAAAAGGGTTTCTTTTGTCTCTGTTCAACTCCCTCAAAAGCTCAGCTTCTGCTTAGATAGTTAGAGCCTGATCTGTGTGAAACTTCATCTGTCATCAGGATTGATAAAAACATAATTAGGTGTGTCCTTTTAAATGGTTTTTACTTTGGTGCCTGAGCATTAATCTAAATCTCCTGTAATATGGCCAGTTTTACCACTATGGTGTGTGTGTCCCCATAACTGTCATGAGGCAGTTTAATGCAACATTTACAACATTTTCAGTAATGACATTTACAAATATTTCCTCAGCTGCTTGAAAGGAAAAGGAAAATCTTGCATAAAATTTTATCAGCCATTAACTTTTATTTCAGAAATGGAACACACCAAAATAGAAGTGCACGTATATAAACACACTTGCCTCTTTTTTTGTATTGCTAAAGTCTGTTGTGGCTGCTGCTACTGGTTATTTCATGGTAGCAGGAAATATTAAGACCTGATATTACAACCTTTATAATGTATCTACTCCCATTTCTGTGCTTATATTAAAGTTTAGCTCTTCGTGTATGTGTGACTGAAACAAAAGTTCAAACCTGTGACTCACTGTCATGGAATAGGTTACTGGATTATTAATATTTTAACATTTTCCTTTGGCAAATATGAAAGCAATTGTGGCTAAGTGTAGGATTTAGTAGGAATAAACTGCTTCTGGGTACAAGTAAGGTAATTGTTGTCTGATTCAGTAGCATTATTTTGAGAGTAATATATCAAAGGAGGGAATGTTTGTTATATTCTGATAAGACCTTTCTATATGAGTCACATTTGATAAAAGTCTCTGAGAAAAAGATCAAGTTCATCTTAAATAATCATGATTTGCATATTCCTATTATGACAGCTGCATTATTCTGAAAAGTGTGCTGTGCTATATCTATGGCTTCTGAAAACAAAAAAGGTGAATTTCAGACTGTAAAAAAAAATCAGAACAAATGTTCTCAGCATGTAATTAGGCCATGCATATCATGAACATTGTTCTTGTGACTGTTTTTATAATTTTTACATAGTTATTTCAGAAAGGTTAAAAATTATGCATGCAGTCTTTATTATATTACACACATAATTTGGAAAAAAGCATTTCTCTGCACTAAAAATAATAAAGAAATAGATTCATTGTGTTGAGAAATTTATTTCTTGAGCCTCAAATAATTTAATTCCTTTTTATTCTATGCAAAAAGTAATTTTCTCCTAGGGGAAAATTATTGCTTAACTACTGTTATGTATTCACTGGCAGTCTTAGCCACTCAGCCAAAGATAGCTCTAAAAAGGAAGTAGAGAAAGCTGATTGAAGTGAAATCCTTAAACTAAATATGAAAAATAGAAGACTTAAGGTTTTATATTCTTCTTTCACAAAGAATCCATAATGTTCCTGACATCAGAAAATCATTTAAAACAGAACTGCAGTGACTTTATCACTGTCCTGTCATGGCTGCATTAATGTATGACCATTTAGATGTTTGCTTCAGTGAGGACCTTTATTCATTCCCAGGATGGGCACACTTCTTAAAAATAAAAAGTTGTATTTGGCAGGAATAAGGAAATTAATTCTACATGTTTTTATCCATTATTTACTTTGCTTTTGTCCTTGTTGGATTAGGTTGATAACTGGAGCATGGAGAGGGGGACTGCTGAGCTGGTTTTGAGCAGAACCAATTTTTTCAGCTTGTTGCCATGCCAGAGTACCAGCAGTACCAGTCATGACAGGCCTGTAATATTCACCCCTCCAGCTGCTCAGTCCTGGCCATGGAGATGGCATTTAACTAGACCAGTAAGGATTATACTGGTCAGCCACTGGAATTTTCCAGGTATTTACTGCTAGCTCTGTTGTATTTCCATCAGGCTGTACAGTCAAATGTATTGTATATACTTGCAAATTATATATTTATAATTATTGCTCAAATACTTGAGTTGGGTCCTGGTGCAAGTCATTGGTTTCTCCCTCATTTCCTCCACCAGAACACAAGAGATGAGGATTCTTTCCATCTGTGCAGCATACTTGAGGGTGTGGGTTACCAGAGAAACTGATCCCAAGGATCAGGATTTCCCAAGGATCAGGAATTCCCAAGGATCAGGATTTCCCAAGGATCAGGAATTCCCAAGGATGGGGATTCCAGTACACTTACATGTAATACTGATGAGATTTATATGCAGTAGGTGTATCTGAGCAGTATCTTTAATACTGAAACTCTGCCAGTTCAGGCAAAGGAAAATGAAACATTTGTGCATTAATACATGGAGTCTGCAGGACAGGAAAGCAGCACGCTATGCAGATCTGTGGAACAAAATTTAATTGTATATGTGTAAAGCAGTGGTAACAGGGCATGGTTCTCATAGAAAACAGAAATAAAAGGTGAGAAGGAAACAATGATTTACCAGCCTTAATCACTACTATATTGTACATTAAAATGGAGACAATCCATTTTATGATTAATATACTCTGTTGAAAGGCCAAAAAAAGTTGATGGAAGCAAAGAGGCCATCTGTTTTGAAACCTGATACATCTATGTATTGTTTCTGTAGGTATTGATCATAGTTGAGATGGAAATAAGGTGCACTTAATAAGCCTTTTTTTTATCTCTCTAACAACAAAAAAATATTTTTTTAAATCATTATTAGTATACTTGTTCCAAAAGTGAACTCTTATTCTCCAATCCTGCTCAGTGCTGAAGAGCCTGCCTGGATAAACAGGCTTCATTCTGTCATGAAATCATAATATGCATTATGACATTATATTTTGTTGTCATGGAAGCAGTTGCAGTGATATTCCTGATTCTGATGTGAATCTTAACAAGTCTTTTACCAGCCATCAAGTTTCCATCTGAGGGCCAGGTTCTTGCCTGTGTGATGCATTTCCCTTCAAAGAGCCTGTCAGTCATTCATTACCAGGTTGTGTATCTGATGGAAGCCAGCAATCCCACTAACCTTCACAGCTTTACACGCTTTCTGTTCTCATTACCATGTCGAGGTGACGAGAAAAGGCAGCAAAAGAAGCTTCTGCCATTAGCACAGGTGTTTTGTGGCCAGACATATTTCAGGGAACAATCTTGCATGTTGAACTACAGAGAAATTGCAGCGAATCTTTGGGTTTGTGAGACTCAGAATAGAATGGTTATTCATTCTCATTGTTGTTATTTACAAAATAGGAGTGGTGCACACAACAAATATTGGATTTGCTTCTGTTACGGCACTACTGAATCTTTGTTCTTTTCCCTCTACTGGTTCTCTTGCAGATCTGTGGCTGCTTCTTTGCTAACCAGCAGGTGAAAAGACAGGCCACTCAGCTCCCAGAATTCACTGCACATTTGTAGTTTTCTCTTGGTTTGGTTTGCAAGAAGGAATCCACCAGTAAAGACAACTCTTGAATATCTCTGCTTTTCCAAATGCTTCTCCTCATCATGCTTCTGCGTTTCATATGGCTGTACAAGCGCAACTGGGAAAGCAAGGCTGGCTGTCCTTTTCTCAAGGCTGTAAAGGAATTCTGTTCAGAATAGCGTGGATTCACCCCTGTTCCACAGTTCATTAATGTTACTGGGATGTGTGAATGCCAAGCTTTGGCTATGTCTTATTGAGTGCCCCAGCTAACCTCATTCTGTCAGTCTGCTCACCAACACAGAGCTGCTCTTGGCAGATGGCACAGAGCAGGACTGTGAGAATGTGCTATCCCCCTGCTGACCTTGTGCACCACTACCAGTTCTGCTTAAATAATTCATGGCAAACTAACAGGGATTCCTATTCTAATTTATTTTATTGTTTAGTCCAAAAAACCATTGACATATCAAGGTGTTCAAGTCTTTAATGTGTATCCTTAGAGGCCATTAGAACATTGGGACCACACACAGCTTCTGTGGAGCATTAATATCTGGTTTAGATAGCTGGATAAATTCAGTTTTCAAAATCATGTTTAATGGAGTCTGAACCCCCCTGGAATCCTGGAAGTCTGTACCTACCTTCAGACAAGACCAGGAAGGCTGGTAGAGTTTAGGTCGTGTAAATGTAAGTTTTTTCATAGCAGAACTGAGTCATTCATTCATTATGGTGATCTCAGCTGAGGTGTGGCTGCATTTTTTGCTGTTTGAGAAGATGAAAGATAGAAACATATATTTATATTTTTGGAGGTTTGACTGTCAAAATATTCTGGCACTTCAGGATGAATTATTATTGTTTTGCTGGGTTTCTTAGTTTGAGAAAATGTAAACATTTTGCATATTGAAGGAAATTCATAGATGGAAAAGGCAAAGATGTTTTGATATCACTTTCAGATAAGAGAAAATCCAGGTGTTACTAAAAAAAAAACCAGCATAGCACTTAAGCATATGTTGAAGTCATTTTAAAGGCAGTAGGTATTCCACAGGTGTCCTGTTTATATAAACCCTAATTTCACAAAGGCATAGATGCATAAATCTGTGTGAAAGCTGAAGCCTAGGCCAGGTCTAAACTACAAAAAAGGCAAATAAGGCAAAAATAAAGGCAAAATAGTATAGTGAGAAATTTATACTGGCTGTGCTGGCAAAGGACTCACTGAGCAAAGTAGCAGAACTGAGTTTGACCCACAAGTGCTCATTTCACCCAGAAGCAAGGATTTCACTTCATGATCTGTGTGTGCCTTATGGAAGAGCAGTAATTCCAGCCAGGACTGTGTGGGTAGGATGGCATGATCCTACTGCTGTACTACCAAGTACTTCCACTGCAGTGTTCCAGCAGTGTGGTCCCTCTGAAGGCTTCAAAAATTGGGTTCACTGATGCTTGGGTGCCCTGGTGCTATGTAAAGAAAGAATTTTATCTATCTGTGCAATGATCTTTTCAAAACCCCATGCACTGCTTGTTCTTGACACTCGCATTATTATGGGGACTGAAGTACAATCTCTTTACTATTGATGAATTTTCTCCCTCTATGACCAGGCATTGAAGCTCTAGCTTTTCTATTAAGCTGCAGGCAGCTGGAAATTTGAGATATAATATAGGATGCAATTTTTGGAACCAAAAAATGTATTTAGCTTTATCATGTGATAACCCTTAAATAAGTGTGGATAATTGTAGGGGAGTGTAACCATCATCTAAGAAATAACTTGCTGAAACAAAAGTTAGTTTTATTCCTGAAAGAATGGATATTGACATTGCCACCCCTCTTGCCTCCAAAGGTGTTCATCACACTGTCCCTCATATGTTTAGGTTATTTATTAGATTGATTCTTTTTCTAACACGTATTTTGCTTCTCTTTAGGATCTGAAGAATGGCTATTATCAATAAATGTCTGTTTTTTCCAATGAAATCACTTTTTCTAATGAAAGATGTTATTTATTTCTGCAATTTTTTCTTCACTCAAACCATCATAGCTACAACAACACAGCAGCTCCAATTACTTCCGTGCAAGGATGTAGTCAAAACACTTTATTGAAAATCTGTCTTAAAGCTAGAAATGTAAAATTCTTTATATTTTTCTGGTTTGGATCAACCCAGAAATAGTTATATTACACATAAAATTACTAACTTTTATAGTTAAAGAAGCAGAAAGCAATGCTATCAAAGATACTGAATTTTAACTATATCTTTCTCTTGTATTAGTGGTAAACCTACCACAGTGTTTTGTGTTTCATGCTTTCAGACATTTGAAATTCAAGCTAAAATCTTACTAATATATTGTGCCTCTTTTTTTAATCCATACAGGACTGAGATTCCTCTGTTAGGAATATCAAAATAACCAAAAGTAGCAGCTTAGCACCTATATATTAAACTCATATTGAAATACAATTATTTTGCACAAGGTTTGTATTACAGCAGGATGCAGAGTGTAGCTATATTCCCACAATTGCAAAGACATGTAAAAACTCTCTTGTTGCTCACACTTTTATCTCATAATGTTAAGTGGAGGAATTGTTTGAATGTGCTGTCACAAAGACAGAAGAATCAGAAAAGTAGCCACCAAGTTAAAGTTTCAAATGATTAACATTCCAAATAAAAATGACAGCTCACTGAAATGTAATCCTGTTATTTCCAAGGGCAGGTTCTTTTTTCTTTTTGTTTTTCTTCCCTCAGCATTTTTGATTTCTACAGGATAAAAATGATATTTCATGTCCTCCACAGACTAAACAGACTTAATAAGAATAAAATGTACTAAGAGAACAATAGACCTTAAACCAGGAATCTTTAAAAACTTTGTGGCTTAATGAGTGTTTAACAGAACTGCAACATTTGAACATTTTGAATCAGCATCATCCTTTTGGTATTCAGAGTGGTAGTGATGTAACAGGAGATGTTCAGGGGGTATAAAGGCACTGTATCTACTTGGAAGTAGAAAAGTGGATAAACTGCACCCTTGAGAGGCAATGAAACACATGCTAGGGCAGAATAAATGTGCTTTGGAAAGGGTACAGCGGATACTTCCCCCTTTCTTATTCTCCCATTTGTCTTCCTACAATGCCTCTTTGTGAAGGAGCAGAAAAGAAAAGATTTTTTTTTTATTTTTTTAAAACTGGTTTCCCCCTCACAGCATAGAGGTTTTATGGGAAAAATGAAGCACAGAAAGAGATACAGTGACAACAGCCAAAGGCACTTTGTATTGCATTTAGTAGTGTTATATATTTTTTAAAATAAAGAACTTGAAAGTCTTTGGAGTGAACAGTAAAAGCTGTTATTAAGATAGGTGATCATCTGTCATCAAAAAGGATTTGTTTCTTTGCCTGACACCTTCCTCGGGGTCTTCTCAGACACGAGGTCATTTTATAAAAGAAAAAGAAGTCTGTCACAGCTCCACAGGCTCCTTGAGAAGACCTACAGCTGAATGAACTGTTCCTCTCATGGCTTCCTTTTTCATTTCCAAAGGTCAGAGATAATTTTCATTAACCATTAAGGTCTTTCCTGGTACAATAGAACTTCCCAGTGTGGGATTCCCTCTGGAAGTTTCTCATGGTCTGTGCTGTGGATGGCTGTGCCTGATGGTTTGTCACCTTGTCAGTGTGTGTATTCAGCCATCCTCATCTGCATCTTCCCTGGGTGCAGTGCTCTCTGTCCCCCTGGCAGGGAGACACATGTGCTTTGTCTGTCTGATACATCAGTCAGGTGGAATCATCAGGAGTGGAAATGCAGGGAGTAGCTCATAATGGAAATAATCTGATTGTTGTTTGGGACACTTTGGACCCACATTTACTTATACCTAATTGTGAAACTGCTTTTATTGCAAACAGTTGGTAATAGACTTTTGTGTAACAACAAGTCCTTGACTTTTATTCAAATTTTACTATAGTACAGCTAAAGCAGGCTGATGTTTTATTTTAACTTCTTGAATGAAGTCAGAGTACCCATTATTTAGAAGTGCTTAGAGAACTTGATAGCACTGGCAGCACTACTTGTGATTTTTAATCTAGGGTATAAATCTAGCAGACTAGACTTCTGAAATAATTCAAATGAACAAATATGATACTAAGGAACAGAGCTGCCTGAGGTACAGCATGGAAGTTTAAATAAAGAGATATCCCTAACTCAAAACCCAGTAACTAAAAAAAAAAAAAAATCACACACCATAATGTAGTAGTAGGTCCATGATTTATTCCTTGATTAGCCTATTTTAGTAGTTTTACAATTCTATGTATTTATGTACTATGACTTTATTGAACTTTATTGAGAAAATATAGTTTTAATATTAATTATTTTGTTATTTTTTAAAGATAAGCAAGACTACTGGAAATTTACAATTAAATTAACATAAAGTAAATATAAAGGCATAAAATATTTGTAGTGAATTGTGGATTTAATTTCTCTTTAATTATGATTAGCCAGTGTTTTATCCACCTCACTGGAGAATATCACACAAGACACAACCACAAGACAGAAGTATATAAAGTAAAAAAACAAACATGATTACTGCTGGTCTTGCATGTGGACATTTATAAATGACTTAGCTGAATAAGATTAATCTTTTCCCCCAAATAATGTAAACTACCAACCATATGCAATTTTCACTGGTGTTTGGTATAAAAGGGAATTCTCTATTTCATACCTCTGTCAAATCAAAGCCTGGATTTCTGAACCAACCGTGTTTCATTCTCTGTGTTCACCTGAAGGCAAATGAGATCACATCCAAAACAATGTGGGCTACCCCACCCATTCACTTCAGCTGGAACAGGGGCCTGAAGGGGCCAAGGGGGCTTAGCTTTAAAAGCTGTTTTGTGACACCTCTGGATTGCCAAAGAGACTTTCCCAGGCATTTTACAAAAGAGAAGAGTTCTCCAGCAGCTCAAGATAGACCCCAGGCACTGCTGAGAGTGTGAGGCTTCGGTCACCCTTGCTCTGTGCTTCCTTTTCCCACCCCATCTCACACATCTGCTTTCCTGGCATCCTCTCTTCTACAGACTTGGTTTTTTTTAGAAAAAG